CTCTCACATTTCCTCTTCAACTAAGTGGTAATAAAGGGCACTGATAACATAACACATTAGTTCTAGTTTCTAACAGTTTGCCAATCTAAATGACATTTCTAAACACAGTGCATAAACAATGTGTATTTTATTTTTGTAGCTACAATTCTTTCAAGACAGACCCTTTTTGGAGAGTTTTTCAAACCTAGATGGACTTAGTGTGTAAAAAGGAAATATTTTTAAAAACTTACTTGATCGTTAAAACTGAAGTTAAGTTATTTCTTAACATAATTTTACTTTTAATTGTTTTTAGGAAAGACAAGTTAACATTGACACATGGAAGATAATAAATCTTTTGAGAGGATTATTTGCCATATTAGGATGGCTTGTCATATCTATTAGACCTGGAACTGATAGACTGGTGAAAAATCTGGAATCAGCTGAAAACATTATGGGAGAGCCAGTGGAATTAACCAATGTTCAGAGTTCTCGTACATAGCTACTTTCTCAAGTTGTACAGTCAAACAAACACATATGTTATCAGAGCATATGCAATTTAAAAACAAATGAAAATACATAAATGGTAAAAAGAGATACAATCAATATATATTAATATTACAACATTCTCTTTAAATAACTAATTAGATGATGTTTTGACAATAGTTGTGTAAGCACATACTCCCAACAACAAAATATTTTTCTTATGGGACAACAAGGAAATGATTTGAATTTTAAGTTAGCAGCATGCCAACCTTTATTTTAAATATAAAAAGGGGTATTGCTAAAAATATATTGACATTTTTGAATTTTATATTCTTAGCACATATTTTTTACTCTTGTGTGAACAAAGTCTACATGTGTATGTGTACCCAAATGGTTAGCAGTTGTATAAGTAGAAAAACTGCATTTTTTAGTATAGATAATTCTGTTAAAAGTAAAAAATGTGTCTATGCAAATGTGTTGTTTTTGTAAGTATGTTACACATTTCTAGATAAAGATTGTCTGTATGTACAAGTGCTATCATGCGTTCATGATCTTACAAAACATTGAAGAAAACCTTTGAGAATTACAGGTCAAGATGAATTCTTTTATCAGTGGTGCTTACTGTATTAAAGAAGATCAAAGGCATTGGGCTCAAACGGGATGGAAAACAAAAGTTGAATGATATATGCCAAAAGTAAAAGTATTTGGAAACATATACCCCCCAATACGTGTAAATTTGTATGTTGGGGTCTGCTGTGCAGATGAGGAATGAAACATGCTTTCTGCAGTGAAAGGTACCAGTAAGCTTCTCAAATATATATGTACATGTACTAACACATTGTATGTTCCCAATATATTTTCACTTAAAAAAAATCAATTTGCTGTACTAGTACATGTGTTAACTTCTTAACAATTTTTAGGTTACATACTAGGATTTGTATTATATTGACTTGCCAGTGCATTATTTTCTTAGTCTGCACGTACAACTTACAGGGTAAATATCAAAGAAGAACGTTTTATTTATTTACTTTTTAATATATATACCCAATAAAAAAGACAACCACAGTCTGAAAAAAAAAGAAAAAAAAAAAAAAAAAAAAAACCACACAACCATGAGACGCGTCTTGAAATGAAAGATCTTCTGGGTCGCGACCTTGACCTGAATACTCTCAATCCAGACAGGTGCGGAGTTTGGTGTGGACTGACGTTACTTCAGTCACCTAACTCCTTCCTGCTTAGTTGACACAAGGAGTCATAACTCTTTGTTTGATGGTTAGGGTAAGTGGAAGAAATTAACCAATAATCCAAAGATGAAACTGGAAATAATTTTGAAGTGCATTATATTACTGCATAATATTAAATATTTTTTCGTTTCTGTCATCACTACTGGACAGAGACTTGCACGGTGATCAGTACAAATGTGGGTGCCTTTTCTCTTCGTCTCGAAAGTTAAATGAATAAAATTGTCCCAAAATGTCTCGTGTAATAACCCGGTTGGTAAAAAAAATTAAGTGCGAGGGCGGATGTTAGGGTAATTTTAAGTGTTCTTTTGAAGTATATAGTCATATACTGGTATAATACGTATTATTGATATATAGTTTACTTTGTACTAGTACATGTGCATATATCAGTGGTGTGTGTGTACAGTTGCATATGTATAAAATTACAATCGTGTATCTGGACATGGTTACATTATTCAGACAACGAGTACTGGTACGAGCAGCAGTACTTATGTTAAATTGGTATACATACATGTATATGTACCTGTCACAATTAACATCATACCTGACATACCTTTGATTTTGGTGTTGTAACCACATCAGTGTGTCATATTCTGGTCTATTGTGATACATGTCTGTAAATCTGTTGTTGTAATATGATACATCCCTAGTATGAATGGCATTTACCTAATACAATATAGTTTACATAACTTACAGACATACTGTATGCAGGTGTGGCTTACAAGCACCATGTGCAGTTATTAAGCCACTTTAAATCTTTTGGACAATTCTTGTACCCTTGTGTTTATGTGGGGGCGTCTCGATAGTCCGAAGGTTCNTTACAATCGTGTATCTGGACATGGTTACATTATTCAGACAACGAGTACTGGTACGAGCAGCAGTACTTATGTTAAATTGGTATACATACATGTATATGTACCTGTCACAATTAACATCATACCTGACATACCTTTGATTTTGGTGTTGTAACCACATCAGTGTGTCATATTCTGGTCTATTGTGATACATGTCTGTAAATCTGTTGTTGTAATATGATACATCCCTAGTATGAATGGCATTTACCTAATACAATATAGTTTACATAACTTACAGACATACTGTATGCAGGTGTGGCTTACAAGCACCATGTGCAGTTATTAAGCCACTTTAAATCTTTTGGACAATTCTTGTACCCTTGTGTTTATGTGGGGGCGTCTCGATAGTCCGAAGGTTCATTGGTCCGAAGGTTCATTGGTCCGAAAAGTGGTAACATTTTCATCGATTTTTTAAACAAGGGTTCATTGGTCCGAAGGTTCTATAGTGAATATTCGGACCAATGAACCTTCGGACTATTGAACCTTCGGACTATTGCTACGGCCCCGTTTATGTTTATGAAAAATGTATTTCATTGAGGTCTCTGAGGTCAATGGGTTGAGTTAGTTTTACACATGGCTGCCAAAATATGTGCTAGATTATTGACTGAGGAAGCATATGGTTCAATCACCCTGAGCTTCAGAGGTAACTTGAAACTTAATTTTAGACTATATCATACCCTTGCTGTTTCAAGTAACTTGAAATGGCAAGGGTATGATATATGGTAGAGTTATAAGTTTCAAGCAATCTCTGAAGCTCAGAGTGGGTTTCAAACATGTTTTGATATCAAACTTTGCTGAACAAACTCAAAATGAGCTGCTTTTTACTCTTGTTAATCACCAGATGTGCCTTTTTTGGCATGACAGACGTACATGACAGACAGACATGTGTATGTACTGAGTCTCAGGTTTTACTTGATATTATCATTTTTTATTGATTGTCATAATGCATGAACATTGTGCAACTTTGATGTGAAATTAATGTCATTGTGATCTGTAGATTTATTGTAACCTTTATTCTGACCTTATCATTTTGTGCTAAAACATTTTTGGTTTAAACTTACAGGAATAGAAAAATGGAAAGGCCGGACAATGGAGTCAACAGAACTGTTCTTGTTAGAAAGTCCAGATGGCATTTATTGCCACTTGCTCTCTTTATTATCATGCCAGTCACATTTGTGGTTTCGTAAGTAAAACTAGTTTGCCTTTACTAAGAAAGTGATGTAAATTGTGAAATTCATTTTCAACATATTAAAGTATTAATTGCCATCGTTTGCTCAACATAAAACATAAGGTAGTATAGTATAGTATAGATTACACTAGAGTTTTAGCTTGGTAGATGTATTGTAGCGACCCTCTTGTTTAATGTTGGTCAGCTTTTTTTTTTCATTCCTAGGTATGTGGTAGCTGTCTTGAATAAACATGTCTATCCAGCATTCCCATATATAAGGTATGTTTTTTTTTTGTAATTATTGCTGTGAAGGGGAGGCTGAAGTTTATGACAGAGTTGGTTTAAAGATACTAAGAGCCATTTAATTTAGTTCAGAGTCAGGGGCGGATCCAGAGATATTTTCTGACAGTCTTCCAAATTATCTTTGTTGATCCATCCACCATTTTTGACCGTCTTCCGACAGAAAAAATTAGATACCCCTCAATGTAAACTTAAAAATCTGACCGTCTTACGGAAGACCCAGAAGACGGCCTAAATCCGCCCCTGAGAGTCCAGATATTTTTTAGATATCTGTACACTGGATTATTAAAGTCTTGATTTAGATGGATTGTTTTCTGGTTTCAGGAGTTTTTAAAATTAGTACACAAAATAACAATTTTTTTTATTTTTGTAAATGATACACAATAAACAGTTAAGCTTGTCATAATACATGAACATTGTGCGACTTTGATGTGAAATTAATGTCATTGTGATCTGTAGATTTGTTGTCACCTAGTGCTTAATTTTGATTAATTTGATTAATTTGGTTTATCCTTTATGTGGACTTTACTTGAGTCATATAAGAAATTGGTACATATATGTCACTTAAATGAACATTGACATTTGCAGCAAATAATGTAGTTTTGAAATGAAGNGACAGCTATTTAGCGTGAACCCCCAGGGAGCTCATAAGTTTGGATCGATCTAATCTCTGGGAATGGGGTCTAAGTAACATTGAATGAGAAATGAAATGACAATATGTTTAAGACATGCATTGTAACTGAATGGTTCAAAGCTGCCACTGATGTGGCATGAACACTGTCGAATTCTAAACAACCAGTTAAACAGCAATAAACTAACAGTTAACTCTAAGAGAAAAGATATGTATTGTACTTGACTTCTCAAATCAGAATATTTTTTAGTACTGCAGAGAAAGAGAGTGTTTCAGATGATATTGTACATAATCCAGGCTTAACTGCCATAATAAGTTTAGGATATAGTGTCTTTACAAATCCCAAGGACCTTCATGTAACGGAACCTAGGAATGCCATGAAAGATAGTTTAACCCCAACACAAAATTAAGGCTTAAGATTATGATATTAAATACATCAAACTGTAATCTTGGTACATGCATCTGTCCTAGGATATTGTGAAATCAATGGGGTAAGTATGGGCCATTTGTTGATGACTCTTTCATGTTATGACTTTTTCTGCTATTTTTTTAATAATTGCTTTATCACTTTTCTATCTGTAACTTGCAGGTAATGCTGGTCTCAAGTATATAAGGCTGGTTCTTGTAGGTTGTTTCAAGGTATAGAGAACTCCACTCAAAACCTCATATTCCGGGTTTTGGTTGTGAGATAACTTACACAAGTTTGCTCTGGAAAGACATCTTTTTGGGTTTGATACTGTCTGTCTCTAAAGACATGGGTTGTAAAGCTAATTAATCTGCATGCAAAAAGTATATAATTGTCATTTTTGTCTAAGTATGCATAATGACACATGATCTCAAACCCTGAAAATTTGCATAGAATATTAGTAGCACAGAGTGTCTGTACACATAAGGTTCAAATTAGTCTCAGGATCTTATGAGCTCTTGTAAAACAGTTCCCTCTTTTAAAATTGACTCAGTTGGCACTTGGGTGTCTTCTGCTATCACAACGTTGCAGTCCTTGTCAGCAGCTATCCCATCATCCCCTCTTTCATTCCCATCATCCTCTCTGTCATCCTCCAGCCCGCAAAGTAAGTTGTCATTTTCAAAAGTTGGGAAGAAATACCTGAGTCGTAAAAACATTTTGCAATTATATCAATAAATATACATACTACATGTATGTAGACATAGACTGATTAATGTAGTTTAGCCAAACTAAGGGTGCTTTCCAAGAGATTTAGATCGATCTAACTCCCTGGGGGTTCACGCTAAATTGCAGTCAGCCGAGCGGGCACCATAGTTAATTACCCCCTTACAGCTTTTAGTAGGCAGGACAGACGCTTAAGTCGGCCAAGCTGACAGTAATCTAGTGATACTCCCCACAGGGATAGATCGATCTAAAAATCTATGGAAATGGGGTGAAATACGTAATAAAAATATGTTGATAAAATAAAAACATGAACAAATACCTGATATGCTTGATATCTGATACCAGTGACTTGATAAAAAATTTGAAACTGCTTTCATATTTATATACATTGAGAATTTTTCATCAAAATGTTTATATTGTATAACAGAACTTGAGGTAACAGATAATACCCCACTTACTGGGGCTGGTCCCAGTCTGAGAATTCTGGGAACTGAGTCACATGACCAGAGTGTGTGTAATGTCCAATCAGATCTTCTCTTGCTTCAAACTTTTCACAGCAGAGAATGCAGCAGTTTTGGTGCATCTAAGCAAAACAAACAAGAACTGGGATAGGTCACATTGTATTCCGTACTATTCAAAGTCCCAGAAAGTATTCAAATTGAGGTTTCAATAGTGGAACAACAAATTATAGCTCTGGGTAAAGATATGAAACAATCAACACTTCTACAGTGTATTTTGTAAAATGCTATTTACCTGTCTCCTGATGTAGTTTATCAATTTGACTTGTTGATAAAAGTTCAACCTCTTTGCTTGCCTGACAGTTTTTAGGTCAAATCCATGAACCACCTTAAAATACAAAAAGTCTTCCTCCAATAAATTAACATCTTCAAAGTAAAGGAAGCATAATTTTAGCATCATATTGTTAAGGTCCATCTCTTTTTATCAATTACAAAAACAATATCTGTGTACAGTGGTACTGAAGAAAATTTAAAAGTAAGTGCACTGCACTGTCTCCCTGTACTGTACCTTCATGTGTTCTAGGAGGCGGTCCATGTCAGTATCACCATGGCAACAGAACAGACAGACAGCCCTGGCTCCAGTGTCATCGGTCCAGCCTGTCCACTCTCTGAAATGTAGACAACAAGCAGAAATGAAAAAGTCTGAAAATATGGCATGCCCCCCCTCCCCCTCTCCATTTTTAATGCAGGTCTGCATGGATCTGAAAAATGACTTTTTGGGGTTCCATGGTTTCCAAAAAGTCTTAAAACTGCCAATGCCCTGAAAATGTCATGCCCCCCCCCCTACCCCCCACCACACACACACACACACACACCTATGCATCCTTCCACAATTACTTTAGACTGTATCATATCATAGACTGAAAACTGAAAGTATATGACAACTTTAAATTTAGCTCAGCACACTCACTCCTCATTGTCAGTCTCATCATCTTCTACGGCAACATCATGTTCTGACTGTATGTTCTCCCAATTTTTACCAAGTTCCTGAAATTGGAAATCATACACATCCTGCATTTCATATTTAGGTACAGTAAGTGACTTGATATGACATATTTATGGTGAGTCATCTGCTTAGTCTGAGGATTAACTAGCAGAGTATGAGACTGGTCTGAAGACTGACTAGTAGCTTAGACACTAGTCTTGGATTGTCTAGAAGAGTAGACACTTGTCTAAGGCTTCGTTCATTTTCTAAATTCTATTTTCTATTTCTATTCTTAAAGTAACTTATAGTAACTGGCTCGCGCTGCCAGTAATTACGCCGCGGGATATTCAGGGCACAGACCGAGATCATAAGACATACCGCGAATAGAAAATAGAATTTAGAAAACAGACATTGCATGTGAATGAAGCCTAAGACTGACCAGTAAATCTACCATCAAACTCAAACAACTGCATTACCTATACTACAATTAGTGGAAAGTTAAAATAAATAAAAAATGCTTTGCGTTCTGCAGTTTTGCACACATAAACTGACATCTAATGCCCTTATAGAGAACTGCTGATGTAAATATAAACCAGCTCATTTTTTTTTCAATCTGAATCAACTTTTGTCTGCAACTTCTGTCAAAAATATCATAACTGCATTGCAAATTGAGGGAATGAAAAATACTATTGTTTCTCTGTGATCTCTGGAATTCACAAATTTAAGCAAGTTTATACAACTTCTAATTCAACAATGTAAATAAAATTACCAGATAATTGATGACATAGAATTTGTCATAGGTAGGATTTTGTGGCTTGATTCTTTTGTGCTGCTTTTTCCTCATGTGTTCTTTGAGGGTCATGCGGTCCTTGAAATTCTTCTCACAGTACAGACATTGAAGGCTGGGAAAAAAGTTCCAGAAACTTACATGATTATGATTATCTTAAGCTAAAAAACTCAGAAAAATTGAAAATGTAATTGTCAAAAAATGACTTTTTTCCAATATTGGCACTGTTCTTTTAGCCTTTTTACTTCTGAACAGGTGATTGTTTTAACATCCATACATTTGATAATATTTCAACTATCTTTACATCTTTTGTCTTACTTGTCAAGCTTCTCCTGCAGTAAATCCAGGAATTCATCTGTGTTTACTGAAGATGACAAAAAAAAATTGACTTGCAATATCATAACTACCCAATCTATGCACTGTTTGTAAAACTAACAACATAATATTTGTTTTAATCAGCACTTGAAAATGTCAGCAAGTTTAGATAAATATCTAAATTAAGAAAGTCATAACTGATAAAAACATTTATAATATTATCTCCATTATCAGAAATCAACTTACAAAACAGCAGACCTTGTTACATGCTCTCCAGTCAGTTTAAATATGTGACATAAAAGCCCACACCCACACAAAGATAGAGTCACCATTTTAGTCAACACAAACTAGTGTACAGCATGCACATATTATATTGACAACATTACCCAAGTTGTCTGGCAGTCCTACATTGAAATTATGCTCAGAGTTCATGTGATTGAAGAGTTCTGATCTGAAATACAGATTATAGGCATTATAATAAATTTTTTCTCAAGAAAATCCCTCCTTTTCCCCTTTCTGATATTTTAGCTTTTTCATCTCTTCCTTCACTATTATGAACATATACTTGGTTTTAGAGGTCACAACCTTTTTAGTCAATATGAAGACAAAAATTCACCCAAGATAAACAAAGCAATTAACAGTATACCTTCACAATAAATAAGGATTTTAGAGACAAGTCAGTGTTACATATTTAGTGTAATATGGGCATATCTGTTTTATACC